AGGCCATGTGAGTCAGGCTGCTGCTCCACAAACCTGGGAAATAAATAAAACCTGGGAAATAAAACACCTTTGTCTTCTACAATTTGGGCTTTCCAAACTCTAGGGAGCTGGGCTCACCAAACCTTCTGAGGCCATACGAGTCAGGCTGCTGCTCCACGAACCTGGGAAATAAATTACAATCAAGGCTTTCTGTAACTGCTCATTCTGTTGTAGCTCTGGTTTATTTAAATTGTCTCCTGACATATCTAAAGGTGGGGGAGACGTGAGGCAAGCAGTATGAAAGGGTAGCTCCAGAGAGGGCTGAGGGGGTGAACAAACAGAAGCTGACACTAGAAAAGGTCAGCAGTTTAAATGGCCTGATTTAACCAGGGCACGTGGCAGGCTGCATGCCCCCAGAGGAGATTCCTTGCGTGCGTTTATGAACTCTGGGAAAGGGGCCAACTTAGCCCTAATTATATTTTATTTAATCAGCTATTTAAATACTGAACTGTTTTCTTGGCTCTCTTCCCCATTGAGATCACATCTTTATACTCTTGACCTTTTTATTTTATGCAAGAGGCTCTCTCTTTGGTTTGGACTGAGGTAAGTCAGCTGCACTTAGCTTGTTCTTGCATCACCTCTCTTCCTGAAAGACAGAAAGCCCAAGGTTATTTATTTCCCAGGTTTTCGATATGAAGGAAATACAGAAGTTTATTTTTTCCATTTTCATTTTGCAAACTGAAGAAGACCCTCTGGAATAAGGGGAAGTATATTTAATGATGTAACATAAGTAGATTTCTAGACAATACCAGGAACGTTTTGTAGTTTTTCTTTGAGAAATGTTTGGAGAAAAACACAGCTCAGCTATCTTGAACAGATCTATTACTCTTCTCTTCTAAAACTTCATTTTCTGTAAAGAAATGACAGAAATGCAGGGGAATTAACTCCCTGAGACAAGTATGTAGTGTGTTTCAGAGCAGTGTTCATTCACCACAAATAATGAGTTCCCTTGAAATTCCACAGGATTTGGTTGTATATCGGTTGAAGAATAGAAGACTGAAATGATGCTCATGCCTTTCTGTGTTGGTTTTGCACAGTCTGGTTTTTGGCAGTGGGGAAGGCCAGAGAGGTGACTTCTGTGAGAAGCTGCTGGAAGCTGCCACCATGTCTGACAGAGCCAATCCCTGATTGCTTCAAAGATGGATCTGCTGCTGGCCAAAACTGGGCCAGTGAGAGAGATGGGAAAGCCTCTGGGATAACATATTTGAGAAGAAAATCAAAACAAAGTGGGGCACA